TTGGAGGACATTATGCTGAGTGAAATAAGTCAATCACAAAAGGACAAATATTGTATTAGTCCGTTATTGTAAAAGTTAAAGAAAGGTTTATCTACTGGAGGAAATTTTCTTTGTTGGTTACCAGGGATGGGAGGGGAGGGGAGGGGAGGGAACACTGTTAGATAGATAGAGATAAGTATTGGTTTGGGTGAGGAGAAGAAGGGCAATGTACCAAATGTGAGTGACCAATATGGCACCACTGAGGATGAGAAAGCCATAGAGAGGTACACGGGAGGTACAGACAACAAATATGAACCCTTTTGCACATACAGTACTGCGCTGTCAGTGAAGGCAAGCATGGGTATAAGGGTGGATAGATGGGTGGACAGGCTGAACGATTAGGTATGTCTATGAAATGTGGAGTGTATCCAAGAACATATATAGGGTTGGCAGACAATGGTCCTATAAGCTTATGTAAATCAGCAGAATTCCCAGGTATATAGTACAGCTGACAAGGGGCAAGGTTGTAGTCACTGCTTGTTCACAGCCAGCTACCCAGAGGGACCGAGTAGTTGAACCTGCAGGCTTGGGACCACAGTCGTAGGGGACATCAAGCTCAGTTGGCATAACATACTACACAAAACATTGTTCCACCTCCTACTTTGGCGAGTAGCAACTGGGATCTTAAAAGCTAGCAAGCTGTCATCTAGATGCAACAATGGGTCTCTCCTCTTCCAGAGCAAAGAAGAATGAAGAAAACCAAAATTCATGGAATCAATTAGTCCTAGTGACTGGTACATGATCCAATCTGCAGCCTATATGACTATAAGAGCAGAAGAACTAGATGATGACTGGCTACCACTGTCATTCACTTGGAAGGGGATCTATGTAGGAGATCCTTGATGGAGAGGGAGAACAATGTGGAACAAAACTCAAAATCATTTGGAGGAAAAAAAAAAGGGGGGGGAACCAGGTTTGCTGGTCCGATAGAGCCTGGTGGAACCACTGAGACTATAACTAACTGCCCTTCAGGTCTGGAATTAAACCCACACCTGTGGTTTCTAGCCAAACAAATGACAGGCTTATGAGGTGAACATTTATCTCAAATAGATACTCTCCTTGGAAAGAACAATCATGGGAGAAAGAAGGGCTGCTTATGCACAGGGAGACAGCTCAGGGGGCAGGAGTCCATGGAGGAATGGATACAGGGAAGAGGTAACTATGGGGAGGAAGTGGGAGGGGAGCTGTTGCATCGTGGTAAACTGTGGTCAATGTCATGAGACAAAGTATATGTAAATTGTTGTATGGAAAGTGAATTTTCTCTGTAAATCTTCACCCAAATCACACACACACACAAAGATTAAAATTAGAATTATCCAAGGAGATTATTATACATTTATACCAGGAGGTTCAGCAAACTTTGGTCCATGAGGCAAATTCAGCTCAACAAACAAGCCCAGAGGTAAGAATAAAAAAAGCATTGTTAAAAAAAATAAAGAATATGTGGCAGAGACCACATGTAGCCCACAAAATCTAAAAATTTATTATTTGCCCTTGATAGAAAATTTGTTGATCCCTGATTTACAACAGTGATGCTGTGTCTGGTCAAAAATAATTCTAAATTCTTCTTAGTAATGTCTCAAAATTAATTTTTAAGCACAATAAAAATTAGTCTTATTACTTAATAGCCTTTTTTTTTTTTTTTAACTTAGTATCTTTTTTTTTTTAACCCAAAGCAGTCACCTCAGTCATCACACTTTACTCAAAAGAATGGTGATTTACCAAGCTCATATACAGCCCCAGGGTGGAAAAAGAGGTATTTTTCCTCCTAGCACCTCAAGTCCAAGAACCTATGTTCTGACATTAGTAAGATGTACAAGGACAGATGGAAAAATGAGTCTCAGATTAACTCTCTGAGCAGCTAAACACCGATGATAATAATTAAAAAATCTATCAGTCAAATTAGTATAACAGATCACAGTTTAACAAATCATTTCCTAGACCAAGGTCATTTTTATACCTACTCCTCACTTATAGAGATCGTTAGGTTTCCAAAGACCAGGTTGGTTATGTGAAAATTGGCATTATGTGAAAATGGAGGATGACCATACTAGATCACAAAATGGGTGATGACTACATCATTACGTAACTGCCAAATTATATCATTACATAACTACTAAACCACAGCTTGGCCCAGCCAAGCTGACACATAACTTTAACCACCACAGCTCGTATCACTCTCGCTTTGTACCTCAGTGTTTGCTACTGCCAGACATATGTCATCAATGCACAAAATAGTGAGATAGTAAATCTCATAAACTCATTTCATAAATGTGAAATTACACTATAGTCGATGAGTGAGGAGTAGGTGTAAAGTTGTATCTAATCTTACGTTCTAATCTAGTGTAAGAAAAAAATATATCCAAATAAAAACTGTGAATCTAGAATTGGAAAAAATAACCTATCCTGTAAACATGTGTAGAACTTTCCACATTAATGATTCTAAATACTGAAAATTCACAATTAAAACTCATAATCATATATAAAAGTCTCAGCACCTATTATGTACTTTCAACAGCATGTCTTTCAGATATTAAATAGAAATTTTAAATTTTAAAGGACAAGAACATAAAATATGGGCTGATTTGTTTAATACCCTTTTAACCTATCTAATTTTAAATGAAAGCAATTCAGAACCTGCCACACCACAATTTTCAGAAGGAGAGATTAAAAAAAATAAGAAAGACCACTATTACACTGATTTGGGAAAACTAAGAGAACGTTCTCACCTCTGAGTACATTTTGCTATTCAAGTAAGACAGAAAATACTCTACCTCAATGTCCTGGACGCTGAATTCCTTCTGATCTGTAAAGTTTGCAGCCCCAGCACTAAGTTCCATCAGCATCTTGGCAATCTCAGGCTTTATGGCTGAGGTCAGCCGACTGGCTGCTTCCATGACATGCTCCTGTACATCTTTAAGCTGCGTGGCTGCCTTGGAGTAGTGAGAGTTCCTGAACACAGTGCTGAAGAGGTCCGTGAGGAAAGTACTGGCACGGCAGAAGACATTGAGGGCATCCAGGTATTTGGAGATGCCCTGCTGGATGTCAGCAATGGGAGTAGAGTGGGGCATGGTATGGTGGCAGCTGCCTGCAGCAGTCAGACTGCCCAGGGTGGGGGTGGTGGCTGTAGATGCCAGGGGAGCACTCAGTGCTCGGCCCAGCTCAGGCATTGGGTACTGCTGGTGCTGCTGCACCTTCTGCTTGGACCCGCCAAGCAGGAAGCGCCGCTTATAGTCCATTTTACTGTCCTGGGCACTGCAGCAATACATGCGGGAGGAAGAATTGTCCCAGGGTTTGTGAGTGGTTCAAGGTTCTGATTTCTTTTTCAAAACTGTGGCTAGGTATAAAAATAGTGAAGTTCTGCAAACCTAGGTTTTGAAAAAGGCATTTCAATGAGGCAGGTGACCATGTGATCCAATGTGGATGTGAAGAGGATAACAGGTTTATATAATTAATATTTTCAGTGTAGATGGGGCCTCAGACAAAAAATAAATGTATATCCAAAATGCTGCGTAAGAACTGTTTAGCATTCCACTCTCTTTGATGCTTGCAGAGAAAAATGCTTCCTTGTAACTACTTGCAAGAATATTTTGATACTTTTATTTACAGTGGCAAAAAAATAACTTAACTCATAAAAATGTAATATAAGGTATTGTAATGTAATATAATGTATCTTCAATATACCAGAAAAGTTAGAACCCAAAAACCTACAGCCGATCAACAGCAATTTAAAAAGCAGTACAGAATTACTTCACACTAAGTCCTTAAGACGACCAAAGCTCTGCAGAACTTTGACAGAGCCTGCCTGCCAAATCCATTTACCTGCAAAGCTTCTTCGTAATGCTAAAAATTTCCAAATTTCCTGTTTTCTGAAAACAACTTTTTTAAAACTTAGCATTTGTTATTGTAAGTCTTCTCCTTTTCTTTTGTTTGCTGAGGTAGCAGTTTCCTTGTAACATTCGTAAGAGGTGCTTCCAGACTGGGTTGGCCCCTGATTGTAAAGTCTGAAGTAAGAATGAACAGAAGTATTTGTAAGGCCTTTAAGTCATTTCCAGTTATGTAACCTTGGACAAGTTCTTTAACCTCTCTGCGCCTCAGTGTCATCATCATTCAGAGTCTCTTCTGACATTCATTTTGGTCTTTTCTTTCCTGTTTTTGTTTGTTTGTTTGTTTTGTTTTAAATAAACTTTTGATTTCCTCATGTTTGATGTCATCCTACAACTCATTTGGTGTTTGCCAATTGGTGTTCAATACCTCAAATCTAATCTTCAGATGGTCTCTAAATTCAGAGGCTATACTGAAGCTTGTACTTTAGCTCTTGTGAACTTATTTTAATTTCCTTCAGCTTCAACTTAAACTTGTGTATTAGTAATTGATGGTCTGTTCTGTAGTCGACCTGGATTTGTTCTCAGTGATGATAT